AAGGAAGGAAGGAAGGAAGGAAGGAAGGAAGGAAGGAAGGAAGGAAGGAAGGAAGGAAGGAAGGAAGGAAGGAAAAGCCTGACACTTATTTACCGATGTTAGGAGATGTCTGCAACATATTTCAGAGTAAAAAGAAACCCAAGAGATGACAGAGTAGCAGTAGCCTAATTTCATTTATGAAAAATAGTCCATGCATCTATTTGTTTACATGTGCAATAAGGCATCTGGAAGCACATTCACAAAAATACTGTTGTTATCACTTCTTGATGGGATTTTGGTGATTTCATCTTTGAACTTTTCTTTATATTGTGACTTATAGTAAAAACTTGTCACTTTTATTTTAAGGCAATGGCTATATTCAATTTCTTAACCAGGGTAATGGTCACACAGACGTTCACATTCTTCTTTAGAATGCACATATATGCATTAGACAACCTTTTGACACATGCTTCACAATACAACAATGATATTTTAAAAGATGTATCACTGTTACAATCAGAACAAAAAAAAATGCTGTTTTTCACTGCCAAAAAACCCTGGGCTTTTTGGACAATGATAGAAAAGAAGAAAAAAATGAAATTAGTTGATGTGTTCTATATGAAACTGCAAGAGAAACTGCTTAAACAGCATTTCTTAAGAGGTTATTTAGGCAAATATAACAACAGGAAGGGAAACCTGACCACAGAGAGCAGATAAGCCCACAGTTACCTGTGGCTGCAGAGACGGTGGTGGAGCCTGGCATGCACCCCCATCCCCATAGGCAGTTACCCCCGCGACAATGTTGCTAATTACCTGATCAGTACACCAGTAGTAAGTGGAGAGGATAGGGAGGCCAAAGAAGAGTCCGGGCCACGGGAGGTCTCCAGTGACGGGGTCTTGGATGATGTGGAAAGCATCTGGGCGAGGGAGGTAGCACTGTGGCTTGGCAGTCCAGTTTCCTTTGCTGATTGTACGTGGTATGGCTTGGAAGTACTTACGCAGCAGCCCCTCGTATCCTCCCACTTTGTTAAAGGCTTAAAAACACCATGATATTTATCAGTTCCTTAAAGAGCATAGTAACATGTGACTGAAGAACCAAGATTGCAAAGTAAGACCTGGTTTGATGAACTGTGTCTCATCTATAAAGTGCAAAGGAGTGACACACAGTCAAGATCTTATGTGTGTAAGGAAAGAAGAGCTCTTCCAAAGAGAAAGAAGAGTACAATGGACATTGGTGGTTGTGTGTCTGGTGCTCCCTCTCCTGCTTCTGGTTGCAGAACCCTCTTGCCAGTTGTACTCCATTCTGTGTGGGCCTAGTCAAACTGTCTTCCATTCCGATCTGGCAAGTGACCCAGGTCTGGCCAACATTCCCTGTCCCCTGGGCAACACCTGATGTATGACAAATGGACATGAGACCCAAGCTAGGCTAAGCAGAATTTGCTCCAGGATTCTTCTGCTGAAGGAACTGCTTCCTTCCATTGGGGTCTAAGCTAGTATGGCAATCTGAAGCTCTTTTGTCTACTTGATTCATTCTGAACCCTGGATCTAGCCATGCCTGAAGGTAGTGTGCCCCTGGATTTTTAGCTACACGAGCCAAGGATGTACTGTTTGCCTATACTAGTTTTGAACTAAAGTTCCAGTACAACTTAAAGAATCTTGATTAAAACATAAATTAGTATCATTTTTCCTACACTGCCAATAAAACATTTATGAAGCATCATAGTCTAATTTTCTTCAGAGCCTATAGCATTTCTCCCTCAATATCCTAAGTGGTGTAAAAGCTTGACATTAAAGAAAAACATTTTTAAAAAGGCACCAGAACACCTACTTAACAAAAATAAACAGAAAACCTTTTATTTTGGCATATTAAACCATATTCCTTTGAAACACACTTAATTTTTGAAAGGGGTTCAGAGTCATTTGGAGTCTAGTCAATGAGAGGATACTGAAGGACTATAAAATTAATAGAGCCACCTCATGGCATTTATAAAAATAAGTTCCATGTGTATTTTAAAAAGGTGAAACACAGGGCTGAGCATGGTATCTTACACCTGTAATCCTAGCAAGTTGGAAGGCTGAGGCACAAGGATTGCTTGAGGACAGGAGTTCAATATCAGCCTGAGCAAGAGTGAGATCATGTCTCTACAAAAGAACAGAAAAATTAGCTAGGCATGGTGGCATGTGCCTGTAGTCCCAGCTACTCGGGAGGCTGAGGCAGGAGGACTACTCAAGCCTAGGAGTTTGAAGTTGTAGTGAGCTATTATGATGCCACTATACTCTAACCTGGATGACAGAAAGAGATTCTGTCTCAAAACATAAAAAAAAAGAAAAAGAAAAGTGAAACACAAAACTACAAAGTTATTAGAAGTAAACAGGACAATAGATTTATAAACTTTGACTAGAGAGTACTTTTTTAAACAATTTATGAAAAGGCTGATAAATTTGACAAAATTTAAAATTTATATGGCAAATATCAAATTAAAAATTTGTTAGACTGAAAGAAGAGATCGGCACCACATATAAAGGGATCAAAAATCTGCATCAACAATCAAGGGAAACTACTGGAAAGAAATACAGTAGAGAAGATGAGCAGGTCACTCACAGAAAAAGGAAATGCAAAGAGCCACTAAGTATATGATAAGATGCTTAACCTCACCAGTATCTAGAAACTCCAAGTTAAAACAAAAATGAAAATTGAGATACTTAAAAAAATCAGGGCCAGGCGCTGTGGCTCACGCCTGTAATCCTAGCTCTTGGGAGGCCGAGGCGGGCGGATTGCTCAAGGTCAGGAGTTCAAAACCAGCCTGAGCAAGAGCGAGACCTCGTCTCTACTATAAATAGAAAGAAATTAATTGGCCAACTGATATATATATAAAAAAAATTAGCCGGGCATGGTGGCACATGCCTGTAGTCCCAGCTACTTGGGAGGCTGAGGCAGAAGGATTACTTGAGCCCAGGAGTTTGAGGTTGCTGTGAGCTAGGCTGACGCCACGGCACTCACTCTAGCCTGGGCAACAAAGCGAGACTCTGTCTCCAAAAAAAAAAAAAAAAAAAAAAAAAAAAAAATCAATTCTATGGGTAAACTTCTAAAAAGTGTTAAAACCTCAAGTGTTGGCTGGTGGGGGTTAGGAAATATATCCTCATATACTGATGAGGATGTAAATTAGCACAGCCACTTTGGAGAGGAATTTGGGATATCTCTTGATAAAGTTAGGTTTATTCCATGGATGCAAGGTTGAATTAATATTAGAAACCAAGTCAGTGTAATCCACAATGTTAATAGAAAAAAGGAGAAAAATAATATAATCATCTCAGATGTAGAAAAAATGCTTAATACAAAAATTCAAAAACCATTCATGACAATCTTTTGCAAACTTGGAACAGAAGGGAACCTTGTTAGTCTGACAAAGGCTGTCTACATAAAACCACAGCAAGTGTTTACATTTAATGGTGAAATGGTAAAAGCTTTCCCTCTACGACTGGGGATGAGGCACGAAGGCCTGGTGTCTCCACCTCAATTGACCACAGTGCTAAAGATCCTGACTAGTGTAATAGGGCAGGAAAAAGAAACAGAAAGTATAGTTTGGAAAGGGAGAAAACAAAAAGGTAATTTTTTGACCTGGATGCCAGTTAACAGCTTGTGTTCACTTTGTGCTATTTCACCTGGTTTTGCAGTTTGATTTGTGTACTTTTCAGTAAGAAGTTTATTACAAATACAAAAGACAATAAGATGCAATAGACCTTTACTCATTTACATAAAAGTCTGCCTGTAATACCGTACAAGTGGTGAAAAAACAGGCTGTAAATTTTTGTTTTGATTCTATTAAACATACATCTCACACATTAAAAAATATTTGTATATGTGAAGAATATTTTTAGAAGGTTATACACAAAATGTGTAACACTGGTTATCTCTGGGGAGGGTGACCAGTATTTCATTGTATATCTTTTTGTTTGGCTAAAATTGAAAATTAAAAAATAAAATTGTATGTGCGTGAGTTCCATGGTAACTAGTTTAAAGGACAATGCCTATTTGGATATATAAGGTGCATATTTTCAAAACATAACAATTATTTCATTACTTTATAATAGTTTGTTTATCAGAAAAACTAACCTGAATGCCCCAATTAAAAATCCCATTAAATTTCTCAAAGAATATATAACTTAGAAATATATTTGCTGATATTAAATGGAATTTCCCACCTGATTCTAAAGTTTATTTTATTGGGTTCCATTAGCAACTTTTATGGTGGACTTGCACAGGTTTTTAAAATGTTGATATTTAGCATTAGCGCACAATTAAACACAACGGCTTACTGTGTTTTACAGTGTATAGCTTTGTCACTCAAATTAGTTATTGCTTCCTAGAGCATTTAAAAATGATTCAAGTCCTTGGACAATGCCTGGCATGTATTTTGTGTCTTAGCAACGCAGCACTGAGAACACTTCACAGTGTACGAATGCTTACCATGTGATAAGACTGAGGCCTGTGTGATTCTCTTTGATTCAATGTGTCCTCATTCCATGAGGCTCACCACATGCTCTATGGAACCATAATCCTTCTACTGTATTCGTATCATTTCAGTGATTTTTCACTATCTCAGCTAAAAGCTTTTCCTTCTAGATTTCTACAAGACCAATCTGTGCCCCATGGAGCAGTAATACCAATCTCAACAAGCTCACACTCCTAGCTGTGGAATGAAACTTCCATTTTATGGTAAGTCTACTTGCCATTACCAGTGTAATACGCTAATTCGTATGTTAGGCTTTGGCATTAGAGAGATCCAGCTCTTGGTGCCCTGCTTTTGGTGTGTTTCATGAACAAATTACCTGAGACTTAGTTTCCTCATCTGCAAAATGGGGATAACAAAAGTAATTAATTATGCCTCATGGTAACTGTGATGATTAAATGAGGGAATATAGATAAGTGCCTACATGGTATGTATACTCAATTCATAACTGTTACTGTTTTCATTCTTATAACTTAATAAGCACCTACTTTTTAAGTACAGTTATGTCGCATAATGACATTTTGGTCAATGATGGACCGCATGTGTGACGGTGGTCCCGTAAGACTGTACTGGAGCTGAAAATTCCTTTCGCCTAGTGACATCACAGCACAGTGCATTGCTCATGCGTCTACAGTGATGCTGGTGTAAACAAACCTATTGCACTGCCATATCACATAAAAGTACAGCACATACAACCATGTATAGTATGTAAGACTTGACAGTGATAATAAAAGACTGTTAATGGTTTGTGTATTTACTATACTATACTTTTTATTGTTAGAGTGTATTCCTACTACTTATATCTTTTTAAAAAGAGTTAATTATAAAACAGCCTTAGGCAGGTCCTAAGGAGGAGCATTCTTCTGGACCATTCCAGAAGAAGGCATGGTTATGATAGGACATGACAGCCCCATGTATGTTATTGCTCCAGAGACCTTCCCGTGAGACAAGATGTGGAGGCAGAAGACAGAAATATTGATGATTCGGACCCTATAGGCCTATACTTGTGTTTGTGTTTTAGTTTTTAACAAGGAAGGTAAAAAAGACAAAAATAAAACATTTTAGAAATAGAAAAGAAAGCTTATAGAATAAGGATATAAAGAAAGAAAATATTTTTGTATAGCTGTACAATGCATTTGTCTTTTAAGCTAAGTGTTTTTTTTGAGGGAGCAGGTGTTGTTTTTTCTTCTTCTTCTTCTTCTTCTTCTTCTTCTTCTTTTTTAGCTAAGTGTTATTACAAGAGAATCAAAAAAGTCAGGCCAGGCGTGGTGGCTCATGCCTGTAATCCCAGAACTTTGGGAGGCCAAGATGGGAGGATTTCTTGAGGCCAGGAGTTCAAAAGCAGCCTGAGCAAGAGCAATACCCCATTTCTACAAAAGATAGAAAAATTAGCCAGGCATGATAGCACATGCCTGTAGTCCCAGCTACTTGGGGAACTGAGGCAGGAGGATCGCTTTAGCCCAGGAGTTTGAGGTGGCCATAAACTATGATGACCCCTCTGCATGCTAGCCCCAGCAACAGAGTGAGTCTCTGTCTCAAAAAAAAAAAAAGTTAATTTTCATGGTAGTGATGACAGTTCAGAAAAGGAAGGTATGATGATAGAATAATGTGGAATAATGATGGAATCACATCTTTTGAGGGGGGGATCTTCCATTGACCTTGATGGATGGATTTAATTGAGTGGACAAAGACAAGAGGGGCTTCTACCTGGAGAGGAAGAGCATGGATGAAGGCCCAGAGGTGGTGATGAGTGTGGTGTACCAAAGCACTAGAGTTTGTCATCTCCGCTCCTATTCCTTGACTCCTCTTTCTCCTGAAGTGAGATGTTTCCTCCCCAGCTTTGAGCATGACTTTTGACAATGCTCTTGGATTCTAAGCACCTGAGTCTCGTCATCTGTGAGATGAAGGTACTCATGGCTCAGGCATCTCTAGAGTCAAAAATTCCACCCATAGTGCCCAATCTTCTCAAGTTTTACTTACCATAACACATTAACAAGACTGATCCCAAAAGCATAATGAAAGCATGCAAGACACCAGTATAAACCACAGCTACCAAACCACCTAGACAGGCAAAGAGAAAAGAGAAAGAACGCCCCATTTGACTCTCTCTGCTGAAAGTTACTTCTGCATCAACTACTCTATATACTGACTGCCCCCACACCACCCCCATCTCCACACTCAGACTTTTGTCCCTTTAATTCAGTGGGTCTTAGAACTACTTATGCTTATGTTTGTTATATCCTATTTTCTCTAACATCCTTAATAATCTTTTGTTGGATTCTTATTTTGCCCTTCAATGTCCCAATTTCCCTTTACTTCCCATTTTTTGAATCAATGAAAGTCTGGTAGTTTTCTGAAGCCAAAACACTCATCTTTAATCACAAAAGCTCAGTCTAGAAGCAATAGTTAACAGCCTCCCTGTCTCAGTTGTGACAACCACTTCAAGCATTACCAAATGTCCTCTGGGAAGAAAAATCCCATTCCCATTCTCCTGCACTGTGGTGAGCACATTCCTCCTCCTCACTCTGATTCTCTCCACTCTGAGGACTCTGGTGAACTGCTAGGGACACACACCAGCATCCAAGATTTGCACTGTGGCTGGAAAAGACAAGTGGTGAGAGCACCCACTCTCACAACATAGGCAGAGGTTGCCTGGGACAGAACTGCCTACATAAAAGATCCCATCCTAAGGCCTAACCTGGTGGCCTAAGGCTGCTGCCACTCCCTCATTCCTTTTCTGTGCACACACTCTGGTAGCCCCACCCCACCCCAACCGCAATCACTGTTGTGCCTGTTGGGCCCCTTGGAGAGAAAGCCTACCAGCCTAATCTGACTAGGATACCACTTAGGCACCCCTGCCTCTCTTCTTTTCGCTGTTCAGCCCTCTCAGGACTCAGCAATGTGATCTTGCGCATTAGGGTTATTAGGTGTGTTAGGTTAGACTTAGGGAAAACGGGGAAAGCTGGACACTACTATCTCAATGTCTATTGGGACTCCACTAAGAACTAGAGCATTTGTGTCTGTATAAATATTTGTGTGATTACAGCAAGCTCACCTGTGATGGTATAAAGACCAGCAACTGTCAGCAAGACCAGGATGATCAGGTAAATATCCAACCCCCAAAGCATCCTCATGAATACTGCGTAAGAGCAGACCTCCAACTGAAATGAATACAAAGTCAGCAGGCTGCACTTTCACCTCCAGCTGAATCAACAATGATCCCAGAAAGAAACTGACCCTACAAGCCATCCACAAGAGGTGGTCTCTGGCTAGCATGTTTATTCCATCACCAGTGGACACCAGGTAAAGTTTACCCAAGTTTTGTTGAGCACAAGGCTTGTGCCCAATAAGTTCAGCCAAGGTTAGCACTTTTGGGGCTTGAGTTAATCCACACAGTTAGCACAACTTAGCCTCTTCTACTCTGTAGTCTCAGAGTGGGGCGTGTGCTCAGAGAGTTAGTTGGTCTTACAGTTCTGCCACTGGGAAAAGGCAATGGCAACATCTTCTCAGGGGTTGGCAAACTTTTTCTGTAAAGGGCCAGATGGTAAATATTATAAGCTTTGCTGGCCACAGACCATCTGTTTTTTACAACCTTTAAAACTGTAAAAAAAAATCTTAGTTCAAGGGCTGTACAAAGCAGATCATTAGCCGGATTGGCCTGCAGACCAGATTTGTTGACGCTGGCTTAGTCAACACTGATTTTGAAACATCTGCACAACATTTAACTGGCTAACCTCTTGCTTTGTTATTCTGGTCTCCAAATCCAGGTATATAATGGGCAGAGATTCATTTATCCATTTATTCACCAAATATTTACTGAGTCTCAACCATTCACAGACACTCAGAAGGGTTCAGAAGATGCAAGAGTTACCAAAACTCAATTGCTATCTTCAGGAGCTTACATTTAATGAAGGAGAAAGACCATTAAACGGGCATTTTCCACACAGTGTGATAAATTCATTCATTCAGAAAGCATTTACTGAGTGCATTATGTGCTAAACATGTTCTCAGCACAGGAGCTAATGCAGTGAACAAGACAGGCAAGGCCCGTGGTCTCAAGAACCTTGCACTGAAGTGGAAAACACAAATAATAAGTAAACAAATAAATTATTCTCACATGGCAATGAGTATTACAAAGAAAATAACAGAGTAATGCAGTGTGTGTGCACCTGTAGTCCCAGCTACTCAGAAGGCTGAGGTGGGAGGATCAGTTGAGCCCAGGAGTTCAAGACTCTAGTGTGCCATGATTGCGCCTATAAATAGCCACTGCATTCCAGCCGGACAATATGGTAACAACTCATCTCTAATTAAAAACAAACAAAAAAACCAGAGTAATGGAGTAGAGACTGACTGGGCATATCCTTGGAAGGCCTCTCCAAGGAGATGATATTTCTTCTCCAAGGAATGATGAGGAGTCAGCCATAGAGTCTGGGGGAAGAACATTCCAGACACAGTATAGCACAAGTTTAAAGGGCTTTAATGGGAATAAGCTAACTGGATTTGAGAATCAAAAAGGCAGAGCACTCAAGTGAGTAAAGGGGAAGAAGTAAGGAGATCAGGCCAGAGAGGTAGGCAGGAGGTCCAGCAGGGCAGCCCTTAAAATACATAATGAGTGAGATATACACCATCTGGGAGATGGTCATGCTGGAAACTCAGACTTGTGGGGGGACAGGACAAGGGGCATTTATTGAAACCTTAAAATTTGTACCCCCATAATATGCTGAAATTTAAAAAAAAGTGTATAAAAAATAATAAAAAATAAAATAAAAATAAAAAACAAGACCCCCCCCCAAAAAAAAGTCATAACGAAGAGTTAAAGTTTTATTATAAGCATGGTGAAATTTCCCAGATTGTTTTAAGCACATTACTTAACCCTCTTAGTGTGGCAGGCCGAAATATCGGCTTTTGCGTCTAGGGCGCAAAAGTTGATATTTCGGCCTGCCACAGTACGAGGGATAATGATATGAGATGGGTAAGCCTAAGGTTTTCTGGGAATAAAGAGGAGGGACCTGTAACCTAGGTTTGGGAGATGAAGAAGATGCTTCTGAATTAAAGGTATCCAAATAGGGGCAGAAGAGATCAAACTTTCACTCTTTGCTGATGATATGATATTATATTTAGAAAACCCCAAAGATTCAACCAACAAACTCCTGGAACTGATAGACAAATTTAGTAAAGTCTCAGGATACAAAATCAATACACAGAAATCAGAGGCATTCATATACGCCAACAACAATCAAATGAGAACCAAATCAAGACTCAATACCCTTCACAATAGCACACAAGAACTAAAGTACCTGAATATTACTTAAACAAGGAGGTAAAAGACCTCTACAGGGAGAACTATGAAACACTGAGGAAGGAAATAGCAGAGGATGTAAACAGATGGAAATCCATTCCATGCTCGTGGATCGGCAGACTCAACATCATTAAAATGTCTATACTACCCAAACTGATCTACAGATTCAATGCAATACCTATTAAAATCCTATCAGCATTCTTCACAGATATAGAAAAAATAATTTTACTCTTTTATGGAACCAAAGAAGACCCAAATATCAAGGAGCAATTCTAGGCAACAAAAACAAAATGGGAGGTATATATGCAAGATATCAAACTATACTACAAGGCTGTAGTAATTTAAACAATCTGGTATTGGCACAAAATGGAATATTGACACAGTGGAACATGATCGAGAATCCTGATATAAAACCATCCTCATATAGCCATTAATCTTTGACAAAGCAGACAAAAACATACACAGGGAAAAGAATCCCTTTTCAATAAATGGTGCTGGGGAAAACTGGATAGCCACTTACTAGAAGGCTTAAGCAGGACCCACACCTTTCACCTCTCACAAAAATCAACTCACGCTGGATAACAGACTTAAACCTAAGGTATGAAACTATTAGAATTCTAGAGGAAAATGTTGGAAACACTCTCCTAGACATCGGCTAGCAAAGAGTTTATGAAGAAGTCCCAAAGGCAATCACAGCAGCACAAAATAAATAAATGGGACATGAGAAACTAAAAAGCTTCTGCACAGCCAAAGAAACAGTCATGAAAGTAAACAGACAACTACAGAATGGGAGAAAATTTTGCATCCTACGTATCCGGATCAAGGGCTGACAACTAGAATTATACTTAGAACTCAGAAAATCAGCAAGAAAAAAAATCAAATAACCCAATTAAAAAGTGGGCAAAGGACTTGAACAGAAACTTTTCTAAGGAAGACAGAAGAATGGTCAACAAACATATGAAAAAATGCTCATCATCTCTAATCATCAGGGAAATGCAAATCAAGACTACAATGAGATTTCACTTAACTCCAGTGAGAATGGCCTTTATCAAAAAGTCTCCAAATAACAAATGCTGGCGAGGATGTGGAGAGAGAGGAACACTCCTACACTGCTGGTGGGACTGCAAACTAGTTCAACCTCTGTGGAAAGCAATATGGAGATACCTTAAAAGCGATACAAGTGAATCTACCATTTGATCCAGCAATCCCATTGCTGGGCATCTTACCCAAAAGATCCAATGACACTCTACAAAAAAGACACCTGGCACTCGAATGTTTATAGCAGCACAATTCATAATATTGCAGGCTGTGGAAACGCCCAAGTGCCCATCAATCCAAGAATGGATTAATAAAATGTGGTATATGTATACCATGGAGTACTATTCAGCTCTAAGAAACAATGGTGATATAGCACATCTTGTATTTTCCTGGTTAGAGCTGGAACCTATACTACTAAGTGAAGTATCCCAAGAATGGAAAAACAAGCACCACATATATTCACTAGTAAACTGGTATTAACTGAGTAGAACCTAAGTGGACACATAGGTAGTACAGTAATAGGGTATTGGGCAGGGAGGGAGGGTGGGTATATTATACATAATGAGTGAGATGTGCACCATCTGGAAGATGGTCATGCTGGAAACTCAGACTTGTGGGGGGAGGGGGAAAAGGGCATTTATTGAAACCTTAAAATCTATACCCCCATAATATGCCAAAATAAAAAAAAAAAAGATGCTTCTGCCTTTTATTCTTTACAAAGTACTAGCAAGCGATTTTTCCTCCACTCTAGCTTAGACAGCAGAGGCCAAGTAACTTAGCGGCCAGAGTAAAGTGCTGGGATAAATCTGGCATCATCTTGAGTCCTGTGTATTAGGTATTTTTGGGGGGGAAGGAATTCTCTTTCATGGGCTGGCTTTTACATAACTCACCGCGATCCTATTGAAGATATAGAGGAATAAATACACAACAGAGAAGATGATCTGGATCCGGTAGGTACCAAATCTCTTCTTAAAATATTCTGACACCGTTACCACCTGTACATGCAACGAGAAAGTCACCATCAATAACGAGTACATAAGAGACAGACGCACGGGATGAACCTTGCTGACAAGTGCTGTTTGTCACAGATATGCAGCTGATGCTAGGAGCAGGTCCGGAATACAAGAAATGAAGTCACTGCTTCTGGCACCTGTTAGGATGAGATGAAGTAGGAAAGGAGAGGAAATACTGTTGTCACCCAAGAGGTTGGAATCCAGCTTCCTGTGCAATCTTAGCAATGCAGAAGCAAATCTAGCTAATTAAAATGGCTAATGATGACAAATCACTTTTATAATCATAGGGTAATCATACGGTAAATTCATAGGGTAAAATCAAGTGCTTTATCACATACTATAAAGATAGCCAGTGCTCAAGGGAGACAGAACTTGATGCCACAGCTCCCCGACCTGTCCTACTCCCCGACTACTAGCATGCATGCTGGCTATTCGAAATGATTCTGCTATATCTCAACACTGTCTCAGGCTGTGCACGCCATGAGGGCAGGCACTGCGCCCTCTTTGTTCACTATATTCCTGGACCCTAGCACAGTACCTGGCTCACAGGTGAATAAATAATTGTTCAATAATATTGTCCCACCTTCTATCCTGACTATCCTCATGTACTCTTGTACACTGACCTCAAATGTGTGTATTTTAAGTTCTAACCCCAATTCCACCTGCTTTATGAAGGCTTACCTAGGGTCTTCACAGGGACAACGTGCCCTCCTCCAAAAAACTACAGATTTTATTATTTTCACCTTTCATCTGGCTCTAAATCATATATGGCTCACTTACTCAGTATGGTTCTAAGCTTCCCAAGCTGTTTTACACTTATTACTTATATTTGTTTGCTAGAGCTTCCATAACAAAATAAACTGTTCATTCTCCCCTGCCTTTCCTTTCCTGCAGAAACTCCAATAAAGACAGTGGCTGAAACTTTTCCCTCACCCCGTCTCTTGCCTCCTGACCATTCTGGTGTCTTTTCCATGTGGCCCTACTATTGTCTCCTGTCTCTAGGACCTCTGAATATAGTAAACTGTTTGATCCTGAGCCTCTCTTGTGTCTCTTCTTGTGGTTGCACCTGACTGACAAGCTCATAAAAGAATACAAAATATAGTGTGTAGTGGTTATCTTATTATTTTATTTTTTAAGAGATGGGGTCTTGCTATATTGACCAGGCTGGCCTCAAACTCCTGGGCTTGAGTGATCCTCTTGCCTTAGCCTCCTGAGTAGCTGGGATTATAAGTGCATACTGCCATGCCTGGCTTAGTATCTTATTTTAATTAGCATTTGCCTAATGATTAATGATAGCATCTTCTCATATGACTATTTGCCATTTGTATATTTCTTTCCGTGAAACATCTGTTCAAACCTGTCTTATTAACTGAGTTATAAAAGTTTAAAATATATATATATTCTACATATTTTTATAACTTTCACAAATATTTCCTCCAAGTCTCTAGCTTGACTTTTGTTTATTTTATTTTTAATTGACATGTAATAATTGTACATATGTATGGGACACAGAGTGATATTTTGACACATGTATACAATGTGGAATGATCAAATTAGGGTAATTAGCATATCTATCACCTTGAACACAGACCATTTCTTTGTGCTGTAAACATTCAAAATCCTCTCTTTTAGCTTTTTAAAAATATACACTAAATTACTGTTAACAGTCTTTACTCCATAGTGCTACAAAACACTGGAATTTATTCCTCCCATCTACCTGAAACTTTGTATCTATTAAACAACCTCTCCCTATCCTCTCATCCCCCTTACTCTTCCCAGCCTTTAATAACTACAATTCTACCATGTGGTGTTTATCTTTCTGTGCCTGACTTATTTCACTTAATATGATATTCTCCAGGCTCATCCACATTGCTTTGAATAAAAATATTTCATTCTTTTTTATGGCTGAATAACATTTAATATTATGTGTGTGTGTGTATACATATATATATCACATTTTCTTTATCCATTCATCTGTTGAAGAACATCTAGGTTGATTCTATACCTTGGCTATTGTGACTAGTGCTGCAACAAACACAGGAGTGCAGATATCTATTCAGTAATACTGATTTCTTTTCCTTTGGAAAAATACCCAGTAGTGGGATTGCTGGATCATATGGTAGTTCTCAAAAAATAATTTTTGAGAAACCTACACACTGCTTTCCATAATGGCTATACTAGTTTCCATTCCCATTAATAGTATATAAGAGCTCCCTTTTCTCTGCATCCTTGCCAGAAATTGTTATTGTCTTTTATTTTTCAATTTTTTTGAGACAGGGTCTTGCTCTGTCATCCAGGCTAGAGTGGAATGCGGTGGCATCATCATAGCTCACTACAACCTCAAAGTCCTGGGCTGAAGTGATCATCCTACCTCAGCCTACCAAGTAGCTGGAATTATAGGTGCATGCCACCACACCCAGCTAATTTTTCAATTTTTTTTGTAGAGATGGAGTCTCCCTCTTGCTCAGGCTGGACTCAAATTCTTGGCCTCAAGCAATCCTCCCACCTTGGCCTCCCAAAGTGCTAGGATTACAGGGTGTGAACCACTGTGCCTAGCCTGCTATTGTCTTTTTGGTAATAACCATGCTAACTGGGGTGGGATGTGTTTTGATTTGCACTTCTCTGATGATTAGTGATGTTAAGCATTTTTTAATGTGCTTGTTGGCCATTTTTATGTCTTTTGAGAAACGTCTATTGAGATCTTTTGCTCATTTGTATTTTTTTTCTGTTAAGTTCCTTGTATACTCTGGATATTAGTGTCATGTCAGATGAATAGTTTGCAAATATTTTCTCCCATTCATTAGGTTGTTTCTTCACTCTGTTGAGAGTTTGCTATACAGAAATTTTTAACTTTGATATAGTTCCATTTGTCTGTTTTTGTTTATGTTGCCTGTGCTTTTGAAGTCTTAATCATAAAATCTTTGTCTAGACTAGACAAATGTCCTAAAGAATTCCCCTTAGGTTCTCTAGTTTTCTTCTAGCAGTTTTATAGTTTGGGTCTTATGGTTAAGTCTTTAATCCATTTTGAGGTGATTTTTATATATGGTGAGATACAGGGGTCTAGTTTCATTCTTCTGCATATGGATATCTAGTTTTCCCAGCACCATCTGTTGAAGAGGGTGTTCTTTCCCCAATGTATGTTATTTTGTTAAAAATCAGTTGGATATAAATATGTGGATTTATTTCTTGGTTCTTTCTTCTGTTGCATTGGATTATGTGTTAGTTTTTATACCAATAGAAAGTTGTTTTTGTTACTATAGCTTTATACTATATTCTGAAGTCAGGTAGTGTGATGCCTCCAGGTTTGTTCTTTTTGCTCAGTATTGCTTTGGCTAGTCAAGGTTTTTTATGGTTCCATACGAATCTTACAATTTTTTTTTCCCTATTTCTCTGAAGAATGTCATTGATAATTTGATAGGGACTGCAGTGAATCTGTAGATTGCTTTGGATAGTATGATCTTTTTAACAATATTAATTCTCCAATCTATGAGCATGGGATGCATTTCCATTTTTTGGTGTCTTCTTCAATTTCTTTCATCGGTGTTTTGTAGTTTTCAGTGTACAGATCTTACATCTTCTTGGTTAAATTTATTCCAAAGTATTTTATTTTTTTAAGGTAACTATTATACATGGGATTGCTCTCTTAATTTCTTTTTCAGCTAGTTTGTTGGTGTACATAAATGCAACTCATTTTTGTATGTTGATTTTGTATCCTGCTACTTTGCTGAATTTGTTTATCAGTAATAAGAGTTTTTTTGTGGAGTCTTTAGGTTTTTCTATATATCAGATGTTGTCTGCAAAGAGGGACAATCTGACTTTCTCTTTTCCAACTGGAAGCCCCTTATTTCTTTCTCTTTTCTAATTGCTCTGGCTAGGACTTGCAGTACTCTTTAGTAAGAGTGGCGAGAGTGGGCCTCCTAGTCTTGTTCTACTTCTTAGAGGAAATTTTTCTCCATTCAGTAAGATGTTAGCTGTGTTTCATATATTCATTGAATCTGACAAGGTGTGGTAGCTCCTAGCAGTTTGAGAGTCTGAGGTGGAAGGATTGCTTGAGGCCAGGAGTTCGAGACCAGCCTGAGAAAGAGTGAGACCCTATCTCTACTAAAAATAGGAAAATCAGCCAGGCATCATGGCATGTGCCTGTAGTCCCAGCTATTTGGGAAGCTGAGGCAGAAGGATCGTTTGAGCCCAGGAGTTTGTGATTGCTGTGAGCTATAATGATGCCAAGCACTGTTGCCAGGCAATAGAGTGAGATCCTGTTTCAAAAAAACAAAATAAAGAAAAACAAACAAACAAACAAAAAACCCCAAACCCTCCCCAAACAAAATATATTCCTTGATTCTCTTTTGTGACATCTTCAATCTACTGTTGAGCCCGTCTTGTGAATTTTTCATTTCAGTTACCACCTTTTTCAACTCTAAAATTTCCATTTGTTTTTGGTTTTTTTCCTATAATTTCAGTTTCCCTGCTGAGAAGCCTTACTTGTTAGTTCATGAATATCACATTTTCCTTTACTTTTGGGAACATATTTATGATGGCAGCTTTGAAGTCTTTGCCCATTACATCAGCATTTGGACCTGCTCAGAGTCAGTTTCTCTTTATTGCTTTTTTTCTTCCAGATTCTGGATCACATTTTCCCATTTCTTTGTACAACTGGTAATTCTTGGTAGAAAACTCACCATTATAGATAATACAATGTACCAACTCAAACTGCAAAATCTTTCATGCCATTCCCCACTCCCATCCTGCCATGTGCAGCAGCTGATGTTTCTGTTTCTTTCAGCTTCCAGCTGCTGCTAATTTAGCCTGGCTCTCTGATGGTTTCCTCCGCACCTGTGTAGCTCAGCAGTCAGGTAAGCATCTGGGCAGAAAATATACTCAGATTTGGGGAGTCGCCTTCTCTTTGGTTTCCTTGTTTTCAGAGCTCTCATCTAAATTTCCAGTTGCTCTGCTGGTACTCACGTCGTCCTCTGACGTCTCAAACCGAAGACTTCGCTATCCAGTGCCTACACCCTGTGGCTTGGGGAATACGGTCAGTTGAAGGCACCATAAACTCACAAACTCCAGTCTTGTCTTTCCAAGATAGATCTAGTTTCTGTCTTTTTCTGACTGGGCTCACTGAAGGTCTCACGTATACATGCTTACTTACTTTAGTGGTCAGCCAGGGATTTGGGATTTTTATATCTTACTTAAAAATCCTTCTCTATCTCAAGGACATAAACATATTCTAAACTTTCTTACAAATGTTTAAAGTTTTTGCCTTTCCTATTTCAGTCTTTTTTTTTTTTTTTTTTTGAGACAGAGTCTCACTTTGTTGCCTAGGCTAGAGTGAGTGCCGTGGCATCAGCCTAGCTCACAGCAACCTCAAACTCCTGGGCTCAAGCAATCCTTCTGCCTCAGCCTCCCAAGTGGCTGGGACTACAGGCATGCGCCACCATGCCCGGCTAATTTTTTCTATATATATTAGTTGGCCAATTAATTTCTTTCTATTTATAGTAGAGACGGGGTCTTGCTCTCGCTCAGGCTGGTTTCGAACTCCTGACCTCGAGCAATCCGCCCACCTCGGCCTCCCAGAGAGCTAGGATTACAGGCGTGAGCCACCGCGCCCGGCCTATTTCAGTCTTTAATCAATCTGAAATTATTTCTGTATAGAGTAGGGATCCAGTTTTATTTTAATTAATTAATTATTTTCAGACAGAGTCTGGCTTGGTCACCAGGCCTAGAGTGCAGTGGCATCATCATAGCTCACAGCGACCTCAAACCCTGGGCTTAAGTGATTCTCCTGCCTCAGCCTCCTGAGTAGCTGAGACTACAGGTGCTCACCAGCATAACCGGCTAATTTTTCTGTTTTTGTAGAGATGGAGTCTTGCTCTTGCTCAGGCTGGTCTTGAACTCCAGGACTCCTGAAATCCTCCTACTTCGGCATCCCAGAGTGCTAGGATTAAAGGTATAAGCTACTGTACCTGGCCCTAATTTTATTTTTTTATATGATAATCAATTGGCACTGCTTTCTTCAGTAATCTGCAATGCCACCAATGTCATAAGTCAAGTTTCTGTGTGTGTTTCTGAGCTTTTCCCCTCATTCCCTTGTCAGTGTTTATCCCTGTGTCACTATCATAGTGCATTAATTATTACAGCTTTATAAGAAAATCTTGCTATTTGTTAGGGAAAGACCCTTCCTTTTCTATGATAGGATTATCTTTTCTATTCTTATACTTTTACTCTTCTATATATATTTTAGAATCAGCTTGTCAAGTCCCTTACAAAACCTTGTTTGGATTTTGTTTGGAATTACATTCTGTGCACAGACCAATTTGGGGAGAACGAACATTTCTAAGATATTGAGTCTTCCAATAATTAACACAGTTGCTCTCTTCACTTATGTAGGTCTTACTTTTTCATTAAATTTTAAAAAGTTTTCCGTAAAAGCCTTAAGAGGTGAACCACTGAGTAAGGTCCAAAATAAAAAAGCAGAGAGTTACAGGTGTCTGCTTACCCAAGGCAGAATGATGTACTGCTGGCATCTCAGGATTTAGGGCAGTCAGTACAAGGATCAAAAGACCGAGAAGTTTAACTTGTCCTCCAGGATGTTTTCAGTGTACTTACGATAAAAAATGTTTCAGAGAGTAGAATACCTGGTACCAGACACTCACCTCAGCCTTAATGTAAACAGGAACAAATATCCAACCAAGAGAGCAGAGCAGAAATACAGCCTGAAACCATGAGGGAGAGAAACAATTAAATTAGGATCCTGTGTAGGCCAGGCTCTTAAATGAGATGCAAGCTCAGTTACTATTTGTTTTGAACCTAACAAGTGTATCACTACTGGGGACCTTACAAATAAAGGCCCATGCATACTTTCCAGTACATGATCTTTGCCATCTTAAATTTGGGGGGTGTATTCTTAATTTTGGGGGGTTAATTGAGCCTATTTTCAAGGTATTTATTTTTGTTGTTTGTCTACATTCAGAGAAGAATGAAGGCGGCTTATAATTAAAAGATAGTTTAAGAATAAAAGTCAGGGCCGGGCGCTGTGGCTCACGCCTGTAATCCTAGCTCTTGGGAGGCCGAGGCGGGCGGATTGCTCAAGGTCAGGAGTTCAAAACCAGCCTGAGCAAGAGGAGGAGATTTTGGTCCAATTATCAGAGGCAGAGGCTAAGGAGGAGTTATAGTCTTTTCGGGCAAGATGCGAATCTAAACTTCACTTTCCTGTTTCTCCCTGCTAGAACCTCCTCCGCCTTCCAGGTTACTGCGAGAGCCGAGTTATCTAAACCTCCATCTGTGGACATTTCTGGGATCTGTTCTCCCCGCTGTGACATTTTTGTAATAGGTGAACTCAGTTAGTCTCTCTGTCTGTGAATACCCAAAGATTGGGTGATCAGAAGTCGCCATCAAATCCTCCCTGGAATCTGCTGTGAGCACATCAATTCCTAAGCTTTGTCAGCCTACAGAGTCTCAGGTCTTCTATTTCCGCTGTACTTTAAAAGCGACATCAATAACAAATACTATTCAGATATAGATTTCAAAGATAAGCATCCCCTCGAGATTAATACGCCACTGCAGGTCCTCTCTAAAAGAGGTTACAACAATCAATTGAGAACCAATCACTGAACGATAAGACTTCTTTTCAATTGCATAAAACACCAGCCCACACATGCAGCAGGAAATACAACTTTAATACAGGTGCTTTTCTGAACTTAGCCAACATGCCCAGTTGTCTTGAAGGGGAAAATAAGCAACGCAACTAAAGTTTTCTCCGGCAGATACTACACTTTAATGCCTGGCGAAGGAGGGTATCTATTCAAGATACATTTCTCGTGAAGTAATACTAGGTGGGAGTTAAACTATAGAAAATACACCAGACTGTGAAGAAAGAGAAATGGAGACAAGCAGCTCCGATATGTGTAACCATGATGAAATCCATCAGGTCCAGAGTAAGGCTCGCTCAGCTCGGATAAGACGCTCGGCAGTATACAGCTGCAAATCAACTGTATGAAAAAATTGGTCTCATGAGTACTACTGACCAAACCTGATATACAGACTTCACAGGTTATGCAATACTCTCTGGGGTGTTGCCCAAATGGACCCTTTTAAAAAATTCCCTACTCAGACATTTTTCTTTTACTCAAGATATAGAAACCATACAAATTGATTACTCTATGTATGTCAGGTACGCATATGAAATCACAAAAGGAGTGCGATGATATATCATAAAGGGCGCTATAATATCTATTAGGCCAACAAACTAACAATATGCGGTAGACGAGTACTTTTGTATAAAGTACTTATGGCAGCCTGATAGGTGCAACCTTTGTCAGAACCTGTCATTTCAAACTATATCTTTACATATGATCTTCTGCTTGTAGTAATGGAATATATTATAAACAAATCTGTGTATTGAATAGGACATCTTAAAATATTCAAAGGAAAGGTGTGGTATTCAATTCATTGTTTTGAGCTAGCAGGAGGCTAGGGAGAGATAGTTGACGTTCTGAGATCCTGATATAAACCTATTCTCTGCCCTCTACTATTGCCTTAGCTGCATAGCTAATTCTTTGATACAGTAATCGCACACGGACAAAACATACACAGGGAATTACTGTAATGCCAGCCATTTCATTAATTGTGTGCTGCGGTAACTGGATAGCCACTTATAGAAGCTAAAGCAGGACCCACACCTTTCACCTCTCACAAAAATCAACTCACGCTGGATAACAGACTTAAACCTAAGGTATGAACATTTGAATTCTAGAGGAAATGTTGAAACACTCTCCAGACACTCGGCCTAGGCAAAGAGTTTATGAAGAAGTCCAAAGGCAATCACAGCAGCAACAAAAGTAAATAAATGGGACATGATCAAACTAAAAAGCTTCTGCACAGCCAAAGAAACAGTCATGTAAGTAAACAGACAACCTATAGAATGGGAGAAAATTTTTGCATCCTACGTATCCGACAAAGAGCTCATAACTAGAATATACTTAGAACTCATGAAAATCAGCAAGAAAAAAAATCAAATAACCCAATTAAAAAGTGGGCAAAGGACTTGAACAGAAACTTTTCTAAGGAAGACAGAAGAATGGTCAACAAACATATGCAAAAATGCTCAACATCTCTAATCATAAGGGAATGCAAATCAAAACTACAATGAGATATCACTTAACTCCAGTGAGAATGGCCTTTATCAAAAGTCTCCAAATAACAAATGCTGGCGAGGATGTGGAGAGAGAGGCCACTCTAACACTGCTGGTGGACTGCAAATAGTTCAACCTCTGTGGAAAGCAATATGGAGATACCTTAAAGCGATACAAGTGAATCTACCATTTGATCCAGCAATCCCATTGCTGGGCATCTACCCAAAAGATCCAATGACACTCTACAAAAAGCCATCTGCACTCGAATGTTTATAGCAGCACAATTCATAATTGCAAGGCTGTGGAAACAAG